CCGGGGGCTGGTCCTCCCGCCCTGCTGGTGCTCCAGGCAGGCAGGGGGAGCCAGTGCTGCCGCAGTAGCCTCTCCTGCTGGCCTGGCGTGGCTCGGGCGTCTGCCGCGGCCGAGTGAGAGTCCAGGCTCTAGGGCCACCCTCACCTTTTCCGGTCACTGTCCTAACGGGGGCAGGCGGGTTCTGGCAAGGGGGTGACTCCTGCCGGGGTTGACGTGCTGCTGCACACTCTGGCCCTGCAGGTATTATCGGGGGACCCACGGGGTCATTGTGGTTTACGACGTCACCAGTGCCGAGTCATTCGTCAACGTCAAGCGGTGGCTTCACGAAATCAACCAGAACTGTGATGATGTCTGCCGAATATTAGGTGAGGCTGCACCCAGGGCCGGGGTGGGGGTGGGGTGGGGGAGAGGGGCAGCCGGCTCCGCCCCTCAGGGCTGCGCTGACTCTGCCTTGCTTTGAAGTGGGTAATAAGAATGACGACCCTGAGCGGAAGGTGGTGGAGACAGAAGATGCCTACAAATTTGCCGGGCAGATGGGCATCCAGTTGTTTGAGACCAGCGCCAAGGAGAATGTCAACGTGGAAGAGGTGAGGCCCTGGGCCAGTAGCTCTGCCACATACCTGTGGCCGTCTTCTCCCTGCTGCTGACCTGCTTGAGGCATCTAAATGACCGACAGAAAATGTCATAGTAACTGCTATTTATTGGGTGCCTACTGTGTGCCAGGCCCTTTAACGATCTTAGTTGATAGCACAACAGTCCTCTGAGGTAGGTACAATTATTCCCACATTTCAGATAGGGAAACTGAGGCTCCAAGTGTTGAAGTCACTCAAGGACCACCACCCAGCTAGTAAGAGACTGAGTAAACCTCTGTCCCACACCAAAGGCAAGCACAGTTTCCACTCCAGTCCTCTGCCTCATTGGCCACCTTGTGGTGTGTGGAGCCCAGAGGCCTATGGGAAGTTGAGGATCCCACTGCTTCAGGGCAAATGGGCCACACAGTGGCAGGGAGCACAGGCTCCTTTGTAAGTCAGGCTGGTGTCCTGATGCTGGCCTATCCACCTGGGCCTGTGGGCAAGGCTGGTATGACCTTGGGTGGTGACTTCAGCTCTCATGCCATGAGGTGGCATGGAGCGGGCAGACCGCGGGTCACCTATGTCCATGAACAGCAGGGGCACTTTCATCTGTCATGTCATAAGACTCCAGCTGGGCCAGGCGTGGTGGCACACGCCTGTAATCCCAGCACTTTGGGAGGCCTAGGCGGGTGGATCACGAGGTCAGGAGATCGAGACCATCCTGGCTAATACAGTGAAACTCCGTGTCTACTAAAAATACAAAAAAATTAGCCGGGCGCCTGTAGTCCCAGCTACTCGGGAGGCTGAGGTAGGAGAATGGTGTGAACCAGGGAGGCGGAGTTTGCAGTGAGCCGAGATTGCACCATTGCACTGCAGCCTGGGCGATAGAGTGAGACTCCGTCTCAAAAAAAAAAAAAAAAAAAGATTCCAGCTGAAGGAAAGGGGTTGGTCTCTCTATATAAAGAAGGACTGGAAAACCCCTGTGAGTTTGACTTCCCCCAAGTCCACACAGCTCATGGGCCTCTGATGGTGTTCCTTTTTTCAGACTTACTTATTTGTTGAGTCAGTGTCTAACTCTGTCATCCAGGTTGGAGTACAGTGGTGTGTTCACAGCCCACTGTAGTCTTGATCTCCTGGGCTCAAGTGATCTTCCACCTCAGCCTCTCAAGTAGCTGGGACTACAGTGTGCACCACCACTCCCAGCTAAATTTTTGTATCTTTTTGTAGAGGCGGGGCTTTAGCAATGCTGTTCGTTTTGACCTTTAAATAAAATAATTCACCACCTCCTTCTGGAACAGACATACATGCCAAAAATTCCAGGTAGAAAGACCCAGGTAGAAACAGCTGGGCCCCGGAAGGCAGGGAGGCGGCCGTGCAGGCCAGCAGGGGCCTCCTGGCCAGGTCTGAGGCTGGCCCTTCCTCTTTCCTCTCCACAGATGTTCAACTGCATCACGGAGCTGGTCCTCCGAGCAAAGAAAGACAACCTGGCAAAACAGCAGCAGCAGCAACAGAACGATGTGGTGAAGCTCACGAAGAACAGTAAACGAAAGAAACGCTGCTGCTAATGGCGCCCAGTCCACTGCAGAGACTGCACTGCGGTCCCTCCCCCAGCCCGAGGCCCGTGGAGGTTCCTCGGGGGACAGTCTCAGTTTCGTGCCGTTATTTAAAGAATTCTCTTCATGTTTTTGTATCGGGAGGTCTCATCGGCACTTCCTCCCCCGCCCTCCTCGAGTGCCAAGAAGGTGTTGGACCAGCCCGCCCTTCCCTATTGGTGCCCCCTTCTCCCCGGCCGAGGCGCCTGGACCTGGCGAGGACGCTGCCCGCCCAGCGGACTGATTCGCAGAGTCTGTACATAGTGTATATTGCTCTATCCGGCCGCACACCACGTCCTGCTCTGGCTTTTGCCTCCTTGGTGCCAGCCTGCTGCAGCGGACTCTCCCCGCGCCCCTCCCCAGCCCATCTTACTGCAAGCAGCGTCCTGAGGAGACAGTGTCACTAGCTGCGTCTTCGGCCAGCCTGTGCCAATGGAGTGGGCTCCACGTTGCTCATTCTCTCCGACAGGCTGTCAGCTTCTGTCCCTGGCACGCAGGGTCTTGCCCCTTCTCCGGGGCCTGCGCCAGCTCCCTTCCCTCCCTGTTCTGCCCCACAGCCATTCTGGGAGCTGGGGAACCCGGTCTCGAGGCAGGCCCTGCAGTTCCACAGAGGTGGCCAGTCTTGCCCTTTGGCCAACAGATTTCTTGTCCTGCCTTCTAGATGCCTCTGAACTCCAAACCCAGGGGAGCCATGGCTTCTCATTTCTATCAACAGTTTTCAGTTCCAACAGAAAGGTCGGGGTAGGTTCGTGCAGAGACGGGGCTGGCAGGGGGGCTATGGGAGCATTATTTTAACAGATCAAGAAAATGAAGCCAAATCAAGTGAATTAAATTCCTCACAATTATTCTCTTTCCCTGAGGTTTGATTGGACAGCAGCAAAAGTTGAGGCCACCCCACTTTGTGTCCACTGTTTTTAGAAAAAAATGAATGGCTTCCTGCCATTGTGGGGCTGGGCTCTTTGGCTTTTCTTGGTGGGAACGGAGAAGGGGCCTCCCACCTTGTCCGAGTTGCCTCCACTGGAGGTCAGGAGTCTATGCTGCAGCCTCAGGCACCTGTGCGGAGTGCATGTCTGGGGCCTCTGGGCTGGGACCGTGGACAGGCCTTGGTCACTGTCCTAACCTTTGTCAGGACAAAGGTAGCAAGAGGATTTCCTAGTGGGTGGGAAGGAATGGCTGGGGCGGCCAGTTTTGACACGCCCCAGTCCCCTGGAGAAAAACCAGGGTCAGTCATCTGCGCTTGATGATGCTCCCCTGCCCCCAGCCCGGACACCTCATTCCCCTCCCCCTACAGGGATCAAGTGACCTGGGAAGAACTGAGTTCAACACCAGGATGTGTTTCCTTAGATTTCCTTTCCTAGGCGATTTCCAGGGAGAGCCCTGATCGGACAATCACATCACAGATCACACTGCAGTTTCCATGTTAGCACTGTGGATGGATTTTTAATAAAAACGGGGTTTCTTCTCACCCGTCTCTCCACTTGCCCAAACTTCCAAAGGCCGGTGGTTCTGGGACAGTCCTTCACTTTGGAGCCACAGGATGGGGTGGGGGAGCTCCGTGGGCCTGGGAAGGAAGGTGCTGTGGAGGGGGCTGCAGGGCTGACCAGCAGGCAGCCTCATCTGGTCAGTGGGGTCAGCAGGAGCAGAAGCAGGGTCTCTGTCTTTGGGACTGTCCTGGTTGGCCATGGGCCCTGTGAGGATGCAGGGTGCTTGGGGCTCCTGTACCGTTGGGTGGGGGGCATGCTGGCCTCTGAGTGATCAGGTGAGGCCAGCAAGGGTGTGCTTGCAAATTCAAGCAATAAGAAGGGGGGGGGGTCCCTGGGAGCTTCCAGCCCAGGCTAGAAGCCCCCATGGCTTCTGGCAGCTGGACATCAGCCCCAGGTGTTGGGGTGATTTTGGTCATGACAGTGTGCCTGTCCCACTGTTACACGCATGAATGGGGGTTATGGGGTGGGGGTGGGGACTCAGGGCTGGACCGATGTCCTAGTGGACCTGATGTGAAATTCCTGTCAAACACACACCACTTTTAAATGGTTTGCTAGGAGTATTTCTGTATTGAAAGTTTCTAATTATGCTTTTTAAAAAATACTAAAAATAAAGGTTCAAGCTGCCAAATTTTCTTCCAGGATCTGTTTGCTCTCCCTCCCGCGATGTGCTGAGTGGGCGTGGCTTCTTCCCACTCACTGTGTCCAGCTCTTCCCTGTTCTTGGCCTAAGCCTTGCACAGGAGCCTGTCGAGGCCCTGGGACACTTCCAGAAGCCAGGTCCATTTTCTCCATGAACAGGTGGTCCAGGGTTGAGTTTCCCCCTAGTTGGACTGGGAGCACATGTGGTAAGATGCCAGGGGAAGCTCCATGTTTATCCTCCACATTCCCGGAAGGATGCAGTGGAAGCCTCTGCCTGGAGTGGTTTCTTTCTGGCTTGAAGTTTCTGCGAAGCTTTAGGGCCCTGCTGGCCTGGGAAGCAGCGCTGGCAGGCCTGCCTTGCGGATGGCACGCTGCAGCACTGGCAGGGGGCAGTGCCAGGCGGGAGGGGCAGGGCAGGATGCCCTTCCTGGCCAAATCCCTTGGTTAAGTACCAGCATCTGCGGTGGCCCAGGTGCAGGGGAACCACTATTGCTACCTCTCCAGCAGCAGCCAGTGGTGAGTCTGATATGTCAGTGGCATTCAGACCAAACCCGCCCCCGCAAATACCCCAGAGACTGAGGCAGGAAGCTCTGTAGAAATTCATTTTATTCTTATTCGGACTATTTTCAAAGAAGCAGTGGTGTGCTGTTTTTCTAAAAATATGCCTTTATAATTTTATATATGTATATTATAAAATCCATACATGTATTTACATGATTGCTACATACAAAATTACAGCACTGTGGTATGTACACATCTACAGGTACATTCTTGCCGCGCATCCCTGCTGTGCTTTCCCCATGTGAGGGAGGGAGACTGAATCAGTTGTGAGCAGCTGAGGGCTGGCCGGCTGCGGAGCCTCTGAGTTGGGGCCTGGGTGGAAGAGGTGGGGCAGCTGCAGAGGCAGGAGCAGCAGCTGCTACAGGTTTCTCCTGCAGGCCAGCAGGCATCTGGAGGCTTCCAGCAGCTTCCCCCTCTCCTCCACCCTGTGGTGCCTGTGCTGCCCTCAAGGTGGGGTGGCTGACCAGACCCCTCTGGTTCCATTCTGTGGCCTGGGCTTGTTTGGCTGGGCCAAAAAGATATGTATGTGAGGAGTGGAGGAGGGAACTGTGGGAGGAGGAGACCCCATCCAGCCCCAGCCCTGAGCAGGGGAAAGGGTTGGATGGCTAAAGCCTGCAGATGACTGGTGACAACATTCTGCCTGGCCCGGCCCTGCTAAGGGGCAGAGACTGGAGGCTGGGAGGGAGAGCAGTGGCGACCGGGGGACAGGGCCTTCTTCCTCCCTGGGGCTCGGGTGGCCTCAGCTGAGCTTGGGTAAGTGCCAGCTCTTAGACCTTGCGGCCAGAGGCTTGGCCTCCTGCCAGCCGAGGTGCATGCACGCAGGGGAGGGGCTGCCATCTCCCCTTCGACCCTGGGCCAGGGGCTGGGGAAGGAATGGAGGCTTAGGCCTGGCCCACTGCCCCCACAGGACTAGGCCCCCGGGGCTCGGGCCTCCTGAGGCATGCAGAGAAGGGCCTCCATTCCTTCTGTTCCCCATTTGCTAAAATAGAGGAGGCAGCAGTGCCTGGGGGTGGGCTGCGATCTGTTAGGGATGAGCAGCAAAGCCCAACACCAAGGGGCCCTCTGGGAGGTGGCCTAACCCTGCTCAAGCAGGGGATCCTGGAGAAGCCCAGGCGTGGGCTTGGCCAGGCGGTGGCCGAGGGAAGCCTTCAGTGGCCAAGGCAGGCCCCACCTCTAGGTCTCCATTCTCACCAATGAAAGGGAGCAGGCCCTCCCAGACCCATGGGGCCCCAGCATGAGGGGGAGGGCAGCTGCTGAGGTGCGAGCCGCAGGGGAGGCCTCGCCAGCACTGCTTTTCCAGCTGCCTCCGGTCCACCCATCTTTGGTGGCCTCACTCCTCCCAACTTAAATTTTCCTGAAGAATGAGAAGAGTCGTTTGCCTTCAGCGGTGCTGGGCTCATCCCCCCGCCCAGCGCTGTGGCCCCTGCAGAGGGCAGCAGCTGGCTGGCTCCGTTCCTTCAGGTGCGTGTCCATCAGCTGCCGGTCAATGACCCTGTGCATGTCATCCTGCAGAGGGGAGGGGACAGTGGCCAGGACTGAGTAGCTGCTCTCACCTAACCCTGGGGGTGGACAGGGAGGTGGCAACGTCAGACAGATGAGAGATGAGGATGTGATGAGAGGCTGCAGCTAGGACTGCCCTGACCAAGAAAGCGGTGAGCGTGGGCAAGACACCAGGCGCACGCAGGAGCCGCATGGCACCTCCAGCCTCCTCAGGCTCGGGCTGGGGTCTCCTCAACAGTGTTACCCTGCTGGCCTGCCTCGGTCCTCAGCTGACGGCTTGGGTGGTCTGTCCCTGCCGTCTTCACACTAGCACTCCACCTGCTCTAACCAGGCCTCACAGCTCTGCCTCCCGTGTCCTGTGGGCCTGGCTGGTGCCTCCAGTGTGGCTTGCCACCCCCAGACCCAGCAGGCCCTAGGGCCACCTCAGCTTAACAGCTGCCCAGCCCAGTGGCCTGGCCTCAGGGGTTCCTCCTGCCTTTTCCAATCATTGCAGCCTGAGTTGCTGATGCCCAGGCACCAACAGCAGCCCCACATGGCAAGGATGCCCTGGGTGCTGCCCTAGACCCCGCTGCTGAGGCTCCCATCTGCACCAGAGGCCAGGGGCCGCACGGTCTTCAGGGGCTGTCCCGCACCAAATCAGGCCCATTTCTTCAGCCTCCTCACTGGGGCGGGGCCGTCCCCAACTCGAATTCATTCACGTGGCCCAGAAAATGCCCCCCGACAGCCCGCCCCGCCATGTTTTACAGAGCAGCAGCCTCTCCCATAGAGGAGCCTGCGGACAGGGCAGCTCCACTCTGGTGGCTAGACTCTGACCCTGGGTAAGACTCCATTTGACAAAACAGTTCTGCCACTAAAAAAGTTTGAAGGCCGGGCGCGGTGGCTCACGCCTGTAATCCCAGCACTTTGGGAGGCCGAGGCGGGCGGATCACGAGGTCAGGAGATCGAGACCATCCTGGCTAACACGGTGAAACCCTGTCTCTACTAAAAATACAAAAAATTAGCCAGGCGTGGTGGCGGGTGCCTGTAGTCCCAGCTACTCAGAAGGCTGAGGCAGGAGAATGGCGTGAACCCAGGAGGTGGAGATTGCAGTGAGCCGAGATGGCGCCACTGCACTCCAGCCTGGGCAACAGAGCGAGACTCTGTCTCAAAAAGAAAAAAAAAAAAAAGAAATATGCGCAGCCTGTGTAATTAGTATCATCCATAAACATAACACGCGTCTGCTCAATTCCTCCATGACTTGAATCTGGCAGGCTCTGCGGCATCCTGGTAAGACCCCAAGCTTTTCTGGCTAAACCCTAGAGTGAGTCAACCTGCGGTGTCCAAGCACAGGACAGGTGAGGCCTGCGTTCAGGGCAGGCTCCCTGTGGCCGGGGCAGATGACCTCTTTGGTTCCGAGCAGCCACTCATGAGATGAGGGCATGAAGTTGGGCTGGCCAGGCCCCTCCATCTGAGCAGCTTGTCCACTCCTCCTCCCTCCCACCCGTGGGTGTCATTCTAGTATCTCTGCAGGTTTCAGCATGAAACGAAGAGGCCTGAAACGAAGGGGCCTTCTGGAGTCATCATGGCGTCGCAGTGAGTGTGGACCCCTCAGGCTCTCCGGCTCAGGGCCTGCTCTCCAGCCTCCCCATCCTCTCAACCCTGTCCTTCAGACTCAGCTTGTTCCTGGTCTTCTCCTTGCCCTTGTCTTCTTCCCTTCTCTTCCAACCCCTTTTCTGCTCACCCCTCAGAGCTGACACCATGCCAGGTATTTGCCAACACACGGTCCCTACTTATCAGGTTCCAGTGTATGGTCCTTGGCACGGTGCCCTGCAGTCACGACGCGCTTGATAAAATCTACGTTAAATCCAACGTGGGAATGCTAAAGGGCCTTTCAAAAACCAACTTTTCAAAGCTGCCAGTGTTTTGTTTGGCACACTGAAAACTGCATTTTTAAACTTTAAGCAATCAGGTCTATCCAGGTCGCCCTTTAGAGTTTCCCAGACACATGCTGCTCATCATTCCATGCCTGCTGGTCCCTCAGTGGACGGAACAGCCATCTATGAGAAGATGGCACCAGCCGTCAACACTGGGCCACACGCTGCCGAGGAGCTCACTGACGCGCCTGTGATGGAGGAGGGAGCTGGGACTCAAGGGCATGTCACACTGCACAGAGATGACGCCAGGCTCCAGCACACAGAACACAGTGGGCCATGAGGGGAGGCGGTGGGGCGGCACAGCGATGGCAGGGCGAGAGGGTGGATGGGGTGCAGGGCTCAGGCTCACCTCAAAGGCAGGAGGGGTGTACAACTAAAGCTGTTGATACGGGAACTGAGAAAGGCCACTAGATCAGAAACCAAAGGAGCCAGATAGTAAAAAGCCCTGAGGAAGCAAACTGTAGCCGGGAGAGAAGAGAGAGAACGGCGGTCAGCCAGGGCACGGCCAGCTGGCTGCTGTGCAGGAGCTGAGGAGCCAGGGACGGGCACCCTGCGGTGGGGCCAGTGCTCTGGCTGCCAGCCCCATGGGGCCCTGGGAGGAATGGTCACCAAGAACCTGCCCTCCACGGGGGTCTTACCTTGTAAAGCCACAGACGGCTTTTCATCTGTCTAGATGAGAATTCTTGGGGAGAAATATTAATGTTTATACCCATATCCTAAAACTGTGCTACCTAAACCTCACCAACAAAACCCAGCCAGCTACAGCCCGGCCCAGTGAGGAGCCATGCTGGACTGTGCAAACAGTGGGCCTAGAGAGGGGCCCACTGATCCCTCTTCCCCAGGGCCTGCACCAGCACAGTGCTCTTTGGAAAAAGGAGGCTGGCCCTTGAGAATGGGAAGGGCGGCAGCTGCTGGCTGCAGGAGGGTTGCTGAGCCGCATCCAGCTGTGAATTTTCATGCAATTATATTGAGCTTCCTGTGCTTCCATGTTAACCAGTTGTTTCTTTCCAGCTTAATGCCCAGACAACCAGCTGAAAGGGGAGCCCCACTCCAAGTCTGGAGATCACTACATCTCCAGACAGCAGCAGCCTGGGCACTGTCGCTCAAGAGCATCCTTAAACGTTCTTCCCCAAGGACTCAGGGACGTGAGCTCTGGATCTTGCCAGGTGAAGACTGGGATGTGCTGCTCACCCAGTCACATGGGACCCTGCAGTGACAAACTCCTTACTCTGCCTGGCTCAGAGATTCCTCTTGGAGTCTCCTCTCGCCCTGGATCTCAGGCTCTGGTTTACCTGCCAAGCTTCCAGCTGCTGCGAGAGGTTCAGTTTCTGCTGAATGGCATCCAGCAACTGGCTGTTCAGAGACATCATATCCATCCTGCACTTGGCGAGTTCCAGCTCCACAGCGTTCTTCCTGAGAACAGACAAGCCAGGGTGAACATGCACACCTTGTGCCAGAGGCATCTGGGTCTTTACTTGGGGTACCTGGAGTCCACAGGATGAGGAAACAGGCTCTGATCCTGAACTCACAACAAACAGCAGCTGCAACAATAACTATGATGTTGCCTGTAGAGGGCTAGTTTGCAACATGTTTTCACATATATTCTCTCAGTTTTCATGACCAACCTGTAGGTGAAAGGAGTATTTGTCATCCCCACCTCACAGATAAAGAAACAGAAGTTGAGGGTGGGCGTGGTGGCTCAGGCCTGTAAGCCCAGCACTTTGGGAGGCCGAGGCGGGTGGATCACCTGAGGTCGAGGGTTTGAGACCAGCCTGACCTACATGGAGAAACCCTGTCTCTACCAAAAATACAAAATTAGCTGGGCATGGTGGCACATGTCTGTACTCCCAGGTACTCAGGCTGAGGCAGGAGAATTGCTTGAACCCGGGAGGAGGAGGTTGCAGTGAGCCGAGATCGTGCCATTGCACTCCAGCCTGGGCAAAAAGAGCAAAGCTCCGTCTCACACACACACACACACACACACATACAAAAGCACACACACAAGTACACACACAAATAGAAGTTGAAAAAGCACAATACTAAAATGAGGACTGGAACCCAGAGGGGATCAAAGGCCTCACACAGAATAAAGGAGCTACTCATCCTTCCCCAAAATGGCCCATTCCCCACTGGAAGACAGGAACCTTGTCCTGCTGGTATAGAAGGGATTCCTCGTAGTTAGCAACCTCCCTTAGGGGAACTGTCCTGAAGATACAGAGGTGTGTAAAGGTAGCCACACAGTGGTGATCATCACAGCTTAGCTAATCAGAGTAGCCAAGCGGTCATAAATGATATAATGGAATACAGTCACCAGTAAACACCATAATGTGTGGCCGGGCGTGGTGGCTCATGCCTGTAATCCCAGCACTTTGGGAGGCCGAGGTGGAAGGATTACCTGAGATCAAGAGTTTGAGATCAGCCTGGCCAACATGGCAAAACCCCATCTCTGCTAAAAATACAAAAATTAGCTGGGTGTGGTGGCAGGTGCCTGTAATCCCAGCTACTCAGGAGGCTGAGGCAGGAGAATCGCTTGAACCTAGGAGGCGGAGGTTGCAGTGAGCCAAGATCACGCCACTGCACTCCAGCCTGGGCAACAGAGCAAGACACTGTCTCAAAAACAAAACAAAACAAAACAAAACAACAAAACACCACAAAAAACCCATAAGGTAGAATATTGACAGTTCATAACATATTGCTGAGTGGAAAAGCACCAGAAAACAGGATCTAGTATAACACTAGTTTTGTAAAACAAAAACTGCCTGTGTCCACTGGGTGCAGTGGCTCACGCCTCTAATCCCAGCACCTTTGGGAGGCCAAGGTGGGCGGATCACTTGAGGTCGGGAGTCCGAGACCAGCCTGACCAACATGGAGAAACCCTGCCTCTACTAAAAATACAAAAATTAGCCGGGCGTGATCCCAGCTACTCTGGAGGCTGAGGCAGGAGAATCACTTGAATCCGGGAGGCGGAGGTTGCAGTGAGCCGAGATAGTGTCATTGCACTATCTTGTTGCCAGCTTGGGCAACAAGAGCGAAACTCTGTCTCAAAACAAAACAAAACAAAACAAAAAACTGCCGGTGCGTTCAATGGATATGCACAAAAATGTCTAGCTGGTTATCTCTGGGTGATTACTGATGGGTAACTCCTCTGACATAATTTTGCATTTTTTATTATCACATTTGTATTTCACGTATTACTTTGTTCACCTTTCCCAACATTCCTAAATCACAGCTGTTCAATGCAAAAGAAAATTAATTTTTTTCGAGGGCAGGGGAATGGGAATAAAGGCGGAAGGATCTCTGCAGAGGCAGCCCTGGTTGCCCAACTGCAGAAACGTGTATTATTTAGCCCTTGCCTTCATTAATCGCTCCCTCAAGGACTCGAAACAGCAAAGCTAACAAAAGCGTGCCCCTTGTACAGGGCCAGCGACTAATGTGCAGGACTCAAGGGCAGCTAGAGGATCCGCCTGCAGGGGCCGCCTAGCTCCAGCTTCACAACACCGACTGCACTAACCGAAGTGCGGCCGGAAAAAGGAACAGGTGGATCCTACTCGCAAAGTGCTCAGGCCACTGCTGCGACCAGCACTTCTTCTTTGGTTTCAGGTCTACCGAGCAATTAGCCACCTGTGCTGACACCGCAAAGTGCGCCCCGCGTGCGCCCCGCCCGGCTTCCCTAGAGAAACCGCTCCAGTCAGCTCAGCCACCGCATCAGCCCCGCCCACTGCGACAGCGATAGGACTCGAGCCCCGTCCAATGGATGCTAAGGATTCAGATGCCAAAGGCTGCCTCCGTCACACCACTGCTATTGGCTCGCAGCAAGCAGCGGAAATCCTCACGCGGCATGGGTTGCCATGGACACCCGTCCAGCAGCGTCAGAACCCCTGGTGCCGCACGGCAGCCGCTGCCTCCTGAGCTTTCGGCGTCCCCCGGCAGGTGGCGCCCAGAGCAGCGGGAGCCCCAAGAATGTGCTGACTAACGCTGCCGCCGAGGGGCCGAGGGGCCGAGGGCTACAGCGGCGGCGCCGCGCCGGGCATGGTAGGGTTCCCTTCCTTCCCAAAAAGGCCCTGAGGCAGGGTCTGTCTGGACGACCTCTAATCCTGGCCACACGCTGCACCCTTGGGACATTTGCTCACCAAGGAATAAGTGCTTGTCATTCATGGGAAACCCCAGACCAGGATCAACACATTAATCACATTTTAAAAATAGGAATATTTCCAAGGGCTCGAATAATTCCTTTTTACAAATGAAACCACCACTAACTGAGTTGTTTTGTAAGGCAGATTGCTAGCGCAAGATTTTTTTTTGGTTTTAGTGAAGGCCTTTCACCTGCAAGGAGATAAAAAAATTGCTACTTAATTTTCCTGAAACTCATTTATTGTATAGGAGAAGGTGCACCTTAAGGTTTCTGCAGCTCAGTGACGAGAAGGAAGTTATTTTTCTTAGGGATTCTCACCCCTCACTACACATTAAAATCAACGGGGAAAGAAGTGGGCCCCAACTGACCCCACCCAGTGATTTCAACTGTATTGTTCTGGTGAGGTTCCTGGTGTCTCAGAGCTTCCCAGATGATTGTAATGTGTGGCCAGGATGGAGAATCAGAGATAATGTATATGGAAGAAGTATCTGGTAAAACCAAGGTCCTATACAAATGGAGGGTGTGGTTTCCTCTTTAAATGATTCCTTAGGCTTGTTGTCTCAATTCTTGTGTAACAAAAATTCATTTCTAAGGTATAGGAAAAGAACTGTCCTCCCAGAGTAACCTAACTGCCCAGCCAGCCCTGTTCTATAGGAGTCCAGGAAGGACAGGACCCTTACTCTAGAGTTCTCCCTACTGGTGGAATCTTTCCAGAGGGGAGGATTTGCAAGTCTAATCAGGCTCCTGGATAGTAACTGGGCTCCTTTGAAAGCAGGCAAGGGCACACATTTCAAGGTTTCATGTAGATTTGCTCACCTAGGTGGCAGAGCTAGGTTTTACTTTTTTTTTTTTTAAAGGGAGGAAGACTGGACAACTTGCTTCTTCTCTCCTGCACCCTGACACTTTCTGTTTGTATCCCCCACCTTCCATGCTGATGACAGAATATGATCTTAATGTTCAGCTTCTTGTTTGAGAGAAGGTAACCAATCCATGTGTACTTCTATCTTCATTCTGCCTTTTGTTTTGTTTTGTTTTGAGGCCGGATCTTGCTCTGTCATCCAGGCTGGAGTGCAGTGGCATGATCACAGCTCACTGCAGCCTCAACCTTCTGGGCTCAAGTGATCCTCCCACCTCAGCCTCTTGAGTATCTGGGACTCCAAGAGTGTACCACCACACTCAGCTAATTTTTTTATTTGTATTTTTAGTAGAGACAGGGTCTCGCTATGTTGCCCAGGCTGGTCTTGAACTCCTAGGCTTAAGCAATCCTCCCATCTTGGCCTCCCAAAGTGCTAGGATTACAGGTGCCTTGCCTGGCCTCCTTCTGCTTTTGATTTCTAATGGACTTCCACGATTAGCATCTTCACTTTACCATTTTATTCCATCACACAATTTCACTGTTATTCATAAAGGTATGCTGCCTCCTCTATCACACTGTTACTTTTTTTCGAGGCAGGGCCTCACTCTGTCACCCAAGCTGGAGGGCAGTGGCAATCTTGGCTCACTGCAACCTCCGTCTCCTGAATTTGTGATCCTCCAACCTGGCTACTTTTTTTTTTTTTTTTTGGTAGAGATGGGGTTTCACCATGTTGGCCAGGTTGGTCTCGGACGCCTGACCTCAAGTGATCCACCTGCCTCAGCCTCCCAAAGTGCTGGGATTGCAGGCCTGAGCTGCCACACCCCAGCCTTATCACACTGTTTACTTAAGTATCCACTATCTAAATATAGTGGAAATCCAAGCAGCAAAGATACATCCTTATGTGGGCTTCACCAAGAACAATTTCTAAAATGAACTACAAACTGACAGACACCACGACATGAGGTTCTGACCAGAAAGAAAAGGGGACCCAAAAGTAAAACAGAAATGGAGATAATCAAAATGATGAAAGAGAACAGAAGGGAGGGGAAAGTGTGTGTGGAAATGAGAAGGTTAGAGTATGAATAATTTTTTTTTTTTTTGAGACAGAGTCCCCATTCTGTTGCCCAGGCTGGAGTGCAATGGCGCGATCTTGGCTCACTACAACCTCCGCCTCCCGGGTTCAAGTGATTCTCCTGCCTCAGCCTCCCAAGTAGCTGGGATTACAGGCGCCCGCCACCATGCTCGGCTAATTGTTGTAGTTTTAGTAGAGACGGGGTTTCATTATGTTGGCCAGGCTGGCCTCAAACTCCTGACCTTAGGTGATCTGCCTGCCTTGGCCTCCCATAGCGCTGGGATTACAGGTGTGAGCCACTGCAACAGGTCTGAGTATAAGGAATTTTAAAGTCAGAAGTGAAAATGTATGTCATACTATTTTTTTACAAAGGCATATAGTATCTTATTTACAAATTGTTTCCAAGGAGCTCATTTTAGCTTCCCAACAAGTAGCAGTGTAGCAGAGGGAAAAGGGTGTCAGGAAGATGGGAATCAGAAGACCTGAGGTGGAGGCTCATGAGTCACTGCTGGCTGTGGCCCTGGCAAAGTATTTCTTAGTTTCCTCATCTGTAAAATTGGGATTAGAAATTTTTACTTCTTACTGTGGCTGGAGGATTAAAGAATAAAAGTGTTGGCCGGGTGCTGTGGCTCATGCCTATAATCCCAGCACTTTGGGAGGCCAGGGCGGGTGGTTCACAAGGTCAGGAGATCAAGACCATCCTGGCTGACATGGTGAAACCCCATCTCTACTAAAAATACAAAAAATTAGCCAGGCATGGTGGCACATGCCTGTAGTCCCAGCTACTCGGGAGGCTGAGGCAGGAGAATCGTTTGAACCTGGGAGGCGGAGTTTGCAGTGAGCCGAGATTATGCCATTGCACTCCAGCCTGGGCGACTGAGTGAGATTCCGTCTCAAAAAAAAAAAAAAAAAAAAAAAAAGAATAAAAGTTATTTGTAAACTATAAAGTGATGTATAAATATTACTATTGGCTGGGCACAGTGGCTCACACCTGTAATCCCAGCACTTTGGGAGGCTGAGGCAGGTGGATCACTTGAGGTCAGAAGTTTGAGACCAGCCTGACCAACATGGTGAAACCCTGTCTCTACTAATACAAAAATTAGCCAAGCACAGGCGGCGGGCGCATGTAATCCCAGCTACTTGGGAGGCTAAGGCAGGAGAATCGCTTGAACCTGGGAGGTGGAGGTTGCAGTGAGCCGAGGTTGTGCCATTGCTCTCCAGCCTAGGCGACAGAGCAAGACTCCAATCTCAAAAAAAATAAGCAAAATAAAGAAATATTACTATTAATATGTTGTAAATGACCCCAAAGTAGATACATTTTTGGTAACTATCTCCTCACACTCCTTGAACAGGGTGGGGCTTGGCACACTGACTCATGCTTATAATCTCAGCACTTTGGGCAGATCCCTGGAGCCCATGAGTTCAAGACTAGCCTGAGCAACAGGGCAAAACTTCGTCTCTACAAAAAACAAAAACAAAAACTAGCCAGGTGTGGTGGTGTGCACCTGTAGTCCCAGCTACTCGGGAGGCTAAGAGATGAGAGTATTGCTCCAGCCCAGGAGGTCAAGGATGCACTGAGCTGTGACTGGGCCACTATAATCCAGCCTGGGTGGCAGAGTAAGACCCTGTCTCAAAAAAATAAATACATAAAAAGTAATTCACAGGGGGATGGGGGATATGTAAGTATGTTTGTGTCCAAAGATTCTGAATGTAAGAGAATGCATTTATGAAGAAAATGTGGCCAGGCCGGGCGTGGTGGCTCATGTCTGTAATCCTAACACTTTGAGAGGTCAAGGTGGGCAGATCACTTGAGGCCAGGAGTTCGAGAGTAGCCTGGCCAACATGGTAAAACCCCATCTCTACTAAAAATACAAAAATTAGACAGGCGTGGTGGTGTGTGCCTGTAATCCCAGCTACTCGGGAGGCTGAGGCACGAGAATAGCTTGAACCCAAGAGGCGGAGGTTGCAGTGAGCTGTGAGCATGGGTGACAGAGTGAGACTTTCTCTCAAAAAAATAAAGTAAAATAAAAGAAACGCAGCTGGGCGCAGTAGCTCACACCTATAATCTCAGCATTTTGGGAGGCTAAGGTGGGTGGATCACTTGAACCTGGGAGTTCGAGACCAGCCTGGGTAACACGGTAAAAACCCATATCTACAAAAAAATACAAAAATTAGCCCGGCATGGTGACACAGCTACTTGGGAGGCTGAGGAGGGACGATCACTTGAGCCCAGGAGGTGGAAGCTGCAGTGAGTTATGATGGTGTCACTGCACTCCAGCCTGGGTGACAAAGAGAGACCCTGTCTCAAACAAACAAACAAACAAACAAACACAAAACATTTTTTAAAAGACCTAGTTGGCTGGGCACAGTGGCTCACACCTGTAATCCCAGGACTTTGGGAGCCTGAGGTAGAAGGATTGCTTGAGCCCAGGAGTTCAAGACCATCCCCGGCAACATGGCAAAACCCTGTCTCTAACAAAAATACAAAAAATTAGCCAAGTGTGGTAGTGTGTACCTGAGGTCCCAGCTACTCGGGAGGTTGAGGTGGGAGGATCGCTTGAGACCAGGATGGGGAGGCTGCAGTGAGCCAAGATGATGCCACTGCACTCCAGCCTGGGTGACAGAGTGAGACCCTGTCTCAAAAAAAAAAAAAAAAAAAAAAAGACCTAGTTTATTGGAAATATGAGGGACAGAGGAAAATGCTAAATGATGCTATGGTATGCAATCAAACCAGAATGCAGCAAATCTATGAGACAAATGATCCAGTTTCTTCAACAAATAAATATAATATGAAAAGAAAAAAGAGGAGATGTTACAGACTTCTGGGACACATCAGTTAAATAGAATATGTAGGCTTTGGAGTCTGACTCTAAATCAGTTATAAAAAGATATTTATGGGCCAACTGGGGAATTCTAACATCAACTGGATACTGATGTTATTAAGAATTATTTTTTTCAAGTGTGATCACTGTATTGTGGGTTTTTTTTTTTTTTTTTTTTTTTTTTTTTTTTTAAAGTCTTTGTGGTAGAGATGTATACTGATGTGTTTATGGAGGAGATGACACTATGTCTTGTGATTTAACATAATCCAACAGGGAGGTGGAGGAAGTGGGTGAGGATATAGATGAAATAACACTGACCATATGCTGATTAGTATTGAGGCTGAGAGATGAAGTCGTCTTACATCTTCTATTTTTGTGTTTGCTTAAAAATGTCCATAATAAAAAAATAGAAACAAAAACCAAAAAAAACTAAAAAAAAAAAAAAAATGAGGTAGACGTATACATGCGATAAATTGGAGGCCGGGCGTGGTGGCTCATGCCTATAATCCCAGCACTTTGGGAGGCCAAGGTGGGTGGATCACCTGAGGTCAGGAGTTTGAGACCAGCCTGGCCAATATGGTGAAACCCTGTCTCTACTAAAAATACAAAAATTAGCTGGGCATGGTGGCAGGCACCTGTAATCCCAGCTACTTAGGAGGCTGACAGGAGAATTGCTTGAACCCGGAGGCAGAGGTTGCAGTGAGCCAAGATGGCGCCATTGCACTCCAGCCTGGACAAGAAAGGCGAAACTCCTTCTCAAAAAAAAAAAGGAAAGTTCTTTAAGATATAAGTGCAAAAGAAGGCAAGACATGTAAAGTATCATCCTATTGATGTCTAAAAACACTAACAACTACATTGCCTATATACCTACATATGCATAAGAAAAAGAGCTGCAAAAAATGCACACTTAACTTTCAATACTAGCATGTGTCTGGGGAGAAGAATGGGAATGGGGGTGGGGGTGGGTAGTGTGGAAACTCTAACTTTTACTTTCGTATTCTTTTGTATAATTTAATTTAAAAAATTGAGCATATGCTCAATTCTATATACTCAACTTTATCTTAAGAATAAAGTGAAGCCATCCCTACTCACTTTGCAATGGCCTCGTCACGGTCCTTGATGGCCTTCTGAAGCTGCTCCTTTGGCTCCTTGTCCTCAGATGTGACTCTGAGTCGGTCTCTCTCCTCTTTTAGGGCAGTCATCTCCACACTCAGCAGTGTCACCTAACAGGAGAATGAACATGGTATCACTGCTGCTATCCTTGGTGGTTTTCCCTCCAAGAGGGAAAAAGGAACAAAGAGACCCCAGGCAGACCCAGGGTACATGTGCGGGGGTGCAGCTGGTAGCATTCCACTGCCATCCTGCTCCAAGGAAGGGCCTGTCTCTCTTGAAGAAAGGGTACCACATCACATGCTAGGTTTCAGCTCCGCAGCAAGGGAGCTGTGGGAGTTCAGCCCTGGGCCTGCAGCTGTAGGCCAGATCCCCTTTGCACTCAGCACAGCATACTACCTCCTCCATCTCCAGGCACTCCAGGTAACAAGTGAACGAAGACCATAAGTCATCATGACACACATTTTTTAGGGTAGGGAATCCCGTTTCCTTTCCCACCATCTCTCACTCAACATGGATGCTGCTATCAACAGAGCCCTGGATGGTTCCAAAGCTGGAGACCGTGCTCCCCCGTGACAGCCCTTGGCACAGCCCAGCTCTCTTTTGTTCTTCCTCATTCAGCTCTCCAGGTGAAAGCCACAGGGAACTTAGATACCTAAGTGACATTATCATCTTTCACCTCAAACCTGTTACCTTTTCTGTGGCCCATGCTTCAGCAAAAGGCACCACTGCCTTCTCAGGTCCTCGTGCCCAGCTGGGAGTCAACCTTTGACAGTGAGACACCCCTCCAGTGGCTCTGTCAGGGACCACAGCTTACCCTGCTCCACAGTACGGTAACCCTGTGTACACCATGATCTGTGTGATGGCAGGAAGCATGTCACATCCATCTGTGCATCCCAGAGCCTGGCCGTGTAGGGTGCTTAATCCCAAAGCAGTAGACAATTGTCATTTTTTGGCTAGTCATCATCCAAAATCTCTTCCCATTTTGGGGGCACTCCTGGTTGTGTGAGACTCTGGTGTGACACAAGGCTCGACCTCAACTAAAGAAGCCAACAGGTGATAGACATTTCCTTTCCCAGGCAGCCTGGGCACAGGACTGTGACCAAACTTGCCAGTTACAACCCCTTCCAGGGACTGCAGCTCTGAGCACAGCAAAGCCCCAGGCGAGTGGGGAATTAGTGACAAGGGTGGCAGTTTGTTTCTATTGTCCCTTTTCTCATGGCCCTTTCTTGTTTTGGAGCCGAGTTCTCCTACTTTCCTGTGATTCTCTAAGCTATCAGGTCTAATACATTCTCTTTTGGCTTACATTAAGCGGAGTACATTTTTGCTGTTTGCAACTAGAACCCTGCCTGGTAGAGCTTCAATAAATATTTATTGGAAAATTGAATAATGAAGGGTGGGAGCCCCTTCTTCTCAGTTGGTAAGATCAGACGTGAGTCAGGATGCCTAACCCTGCCTTCATGTTAAATATGACACATACTTTGACATTTTCCAAGGGAGGATCCATCCATACAGGTCTGCCTCCCTCCCACAAGGGGACAGATGCCACCTTTCAGTATACTCCTCTGTTCTTCAAGTCCAGGTCTAATCCTCTTCAGCCTAGAATGAAACTGAGCAAAGGCCCAGGTGTAAGGCTGAAGATCAAGCTTCCCTTGAAGTGTCTGAAATCAATACACTTCAGACATTCCCCAGAATGAGACGGCAGAGCTGCCAGCCCCTGGGGTAGCAGCCACTCTGGAGGAATTCAGAGGACACCCAACAGTGAGAGGGATAGAAGGACAATTTGTTGCCACCATAAGCAATGGGTTTTATACTCTGCACAGTCTGGCAGGAAACATCAGGGCCAGATGCTCCATACTGAGAACAGCCCAAAGCGGCAGCCTTCCTGGTAGGGACAGCTGGGTGAGGAGGCGGAATTCTCGGGAAGAACAGGCTGGAGCACCTGCGGCTACCCAGCACACATATGCATCCAGCCCTGAGGCAGACAAGGCACCAGGGCAGAGCCCAGCCCCCACTATTTAGCAGCAGGCTCTGCAGCCTGGTAGGCCAGGACTCAATACCCATAAAGCACCTAGTAGAAACAGCCAGACCTCCTCTTAGACCAAATGAGCCCTGACATGGCTTTGGCCAGCTGTGGGCCAGTCAGACGTTCTTACCTGTAAGGGACAGGTAAAACTACATGCTAGGCAGGAAAAGCCAAAATTTAGTATGCTCCAAATAAACACTCCAGAAGAACTTTTTACTTTGGCCCAAAAAACCTGGTCGAGTTACAGCCTACCAGACATGTGCCTTAGGAGAGGTGACAAGGCACTTGCCATCTTTGAGGCTATGCATACTTTTCATCAAAAGCAGGAATAAAACAACTATTTCTCACCACTAAGTTGTCGTTGAGGATTATGAGATAAATGATACCAAGGGCTCAATGCAGTGCCTGGGTGTATGGTTGTAAGCTCTACTCTCTCCTCCCTCCTGCAAGATGGACTAATCACTGCTGTCGTAATAATGATCTGGCTTGTTTATACAAATACTTAGGTTACATCCACCCCAAAATCCACTTTTCCCAAATAAGGTGGGTGTCCCCGCAATTAAATAGCAAAGAACATTCAAAGTCAGATATTGAGGGCTTAATTTGCTCTTTTGTTCAACAACATCTGAGTGCTTATTCTCAGCAAGGCACTGTGGCTAGATGGCTTTAGGAGAGGACCAGCAGATCAGACTTGAGCTCATTCTCCTGGGGTCTAGGGTTTGACTGAGAAGATGAGATGTGAGCAGGGTAACTGTGACAAAACAGAGCCAGGGTGCTCCATGAGGAAGGAAATCAAGAGGGTTTCAGGAGGAAGTGACACTAGATTGGGAACTTGAAGGCTGAATAGCATGGAGATATGAGTAGGTGGGAGGGAAGGCCTTCTGGGCACAGAGAAAGCTGGGGAGAAGGCCCAGATGTGGGTAGCATGGGGTGCATGTGCCACCGCCCTTTATATCCTATGTTCAGTTCTGCTAAAGCAAAGGGGGCAAGAGGGAAACCAGAGGGATGGAGGCTGTGCAACAGGAATGCAGCCAGACTGCACAGCCACAAGGGCTCAAGGCTTCCTGCCATTTGATAATGGGAACCCACCCAGAACTTGTAAGGGGCGTCCCACTTTCAAGTCACGCTTCAGGAAGATCAATCCAAAGCATGTGAGGGTGGGCGGGCTGGGGGAAAGCAGATAAATTGGGAAGT